TCACTTTTCCTTCTTTCTGTTTCAATTTCTTGTGCTAGCCGAGTGGACTAATACCAACAAACTTAATACTCATCGGAATGTGCCCTTACAACTTGGCTAGAGAATACTGTGACTGAGAATATTATTTAATACATCATCAAACCAGGTAAACAGCCCACGAGACTAATAGTAGAGAATGTAATGTAGGTAAGTAAGTGAATGATTATGATATAATTTCACACAAGGGTGTTCAAAAGAAGATCAGAAGTGGCAACAAGTATGAATATCAGTTGTATTAAATTTGATAACATAAAGGACTGGAGAGACAAAAATGTTTTAATGTAACAAAATAAAATGAAATTGAGTAGATTACATTAAATGCGTCGCCATTTTCCTTCTACATCATTTCCTGGACATCTTTCTGCTAACAAGACGGATGAAATCGGATTTTTACTAGGTCTATTGCCAAATCGTTTTAGTGGAGCAAATGTAGCCGAGATGATGTGTGATCTCTTGGAACTCAACAAGTTCCATGATGTGTTGAGAAATTCTTGATTCAGAATTGTATATTCGATTTAACAACGACGTGACCATCTGTAATTTGTTTCTTGATTGGTATAGAAGAACTTAGTTACTTTTGGTAAATGGCTAACTGCCATCACACATTACCTTAAGATACTCAGGAAGGCAGCAAGGTTTACACTAAGGTACTTAACTCAAGAATAGTACAAAAGAATAATCGGTGTTGGTGGAAATTTACAGATTTTAGGACAACAGTATGGAGAAATGTTTGGGCTAGTAAATTGAAATCTACAAATGGGGTCTACAGTATTCATCAAAACTGAGATTTGATGAAGTCTGCTTATTTTCTATTCATCGTTGGAGTACGTAGGACGATTTGGTTTGTTTAAAAGAAATGTGTGGTAAGAAATTGGACAAGTGACATCTGTTCATGGAGAATAGTGTATGAAAAACAACTGCTGTAAGCTTAAGGGCAAGGCAAATAGTCTAAAGCCTGGAACACGTAGATACTGATGGATATCTATTATTTCTGAAAGCTAACCCTACATTTAACTAAGTTATTTAGTTTGTTAGAAAGGGACTTTATGGTTTTGAAACTGTAAGCTGAGACGAGTAATAAAGGTGGCATTCTACTATTGGTGTTAGTTGTGAATCCCTGATCCCCCCAGCTGTGCTTCATTTCTTAATAAAATGTGATTTGAAGTGGAGAGGTGTTACGGGAAACCACAATTATAATGCTGTCAACATTTGGCGAAGTGGATTCTCTTTGATCATTTGTATCGTCTTCTAATTTGATAAGTAATTCGTTAAAGACACAGTAATTTTGAAAGAGTTCTAACGCACATAGGGATATAACCTTGAGTAATGCAGCATCGTGTTAATTTATACTATGGTTCACTAATATAATCTTATTAATAATCGTTTACGTGATAGTTTTTTATATGAATTCTTCAGCATTTTCGGATACAATGCCTGGTTTACATTAGGCAGTACTTTCATCATTGAATCAAATGTTCATTTCAATTTTATTTGACACAACAAATGAACCCACTTGAATCATGCAACTAACATGGAAGATAACCGCGAAGAAGAACAATAAGCCCATAAAGGCTAAAGTTATAGCGTCATCAATAAATAAAAGGCAATCATTGACTTCCATAACGGCTTTTAAGTGAGTAAGATAAGGTAATCGTGTTTCATTAGCCTCAGTAAGAACATATGACATTTAGAAAGATGTTGCTAGGTTAAGTATGATGAACTTGAAGCAAGACAAGACACACATAGCGAGGTCTACTTTTAATTACTAGGATTTCGTCGAAATATATAAGAGCTGTCGAATCTCATTTGTGCTATCATATTTAAGTGGGTTAATTAGATGTGAGCACAGATGAGCATCAAAATTTGGAACTTTCATCACATCCACCTGTGACTATTTCACAACAGATGGATCATTCAGGTCATATTGCGATACCAAGCTTAGAGCGGACAACCAGAATTTCTGCAATAGTGTCCAAACATTACAGAAGGATAAATAACAAAAAACAGTTTACCATTCCCAGAAAGGTCACGACGTCTGTTACACAACAGATGCAAACAGTTCAAGCGAAAAAAATAGCTAACGAGTGTTTAATGAACTGTCCATGATTTAACCAGTCGTAGTCATCCGATCTCATTTAAACTAGACTGGTTACATTTTACATGTACTTCAAAAGATGCAATAAGCACTGCTAGTTTACACGAAATGCTAGTAATCATCTGCGTGACATTGTGTAATACATTAGTATCGAATATAACTAACACAGTTATAAAAATTAACACAGCCAGAGTAGTAAAACGACTAGCATACCAGTGTAGCTCGAAAATCAAACAACTGGGGATGGCGCTAGAGTATAATAAATTGGCTTCGCTTTTTCGGTAAAGTTATGCTGAAAAAAGATTGTTTATCAAACCTCGGGTTTCTTAGTATATAATTCAGTGCATATTCACCACACTAAGTAATGATAATAATACATTCTTTCCCTGCAGATACTCTAACCAGACTTTTGTACGAAATGTTGAAATTATCTTATTTCAGACATGCTGTGACATATAAAGATAAACTATATCTAATTTCTACGTGTTACTCAGCTCCCAGTATTTGCAATGCTAATCGGTCAAATCTCTATCATACTTCGTATAAGATATATTGTTTGTTCAGCAAAACTTGAGAGACAGTAAAAGTATGTTTATGGACAAAATCTCTGTGGACTGGTGTTACTATTTTTAAAAATGTAAATTAAATGGACTCGGTAATTTTTTGAGGTTAAACAATTGGTGAGTAAAGGCTGTTTCTAATATCAACTGAGATTAATAGTGAAAACCATTACATTTAAACGGTACATCCTAAGATTTTGAGTTCAGTGTCACAGAAGTCCCTTACTGCTGGTTCACCTCGCTGGTACTGTGAAGGAACAATATACTCATGCTGCTGCATTTTCGGTACTTTTCAACGATGTATTTCATCATTATGAAGACTGTACTGGAATTACAATAAGCAAATGCTCCAAACAGTGTACAATATTGTGTTCATAGGAGTGAACTGCAAATGAAATATGTTTACAAACTTTAGAACAACATAGTCTAACTTCAAAAAGATTTTGTGAAGTATTTTGTTCCCAAAATATACAAAATAAAAATTACTGCCAATGACGAAGCATCCACACAGGAACCTATAGCAAATGGTGATAGACCAGTTCGGTATGATCAACAGCGAGAAATTAAAAACAGTATAATCATGAAATATGCCCGTCACATGAAGTTGCTACCTTACCTAGTGCGTTCCTATCGCATCCGCGTCTAAGTGGAAAAAAACATCACTCAAAGTAAGGCAGATACCCTAAGCTGACAAGCTGCAAACAGGGCGAAAGGCAAGTCCTTGATTCAATTAATAGCCACTATCCACCTTCACTAAGCATAAACCATTTTACTGGACTTGAAGAGACATGAGTACAGACCACACTACTTTATCCAAGTGGAATCTAAAACTCCATGAACTCTACTGCACCTAAGAACCTCTCACTTCAATTCAGTAATTGTGGTAATATATGAATACTCTATAATGAGTAGCCGATTTGGGTGAATATAATGCAGCTAGGTGTGCTCAAATTGAAATAAAATATTCATCTAATTCCCAACAGAGTAGTTTTTAAAGTAAAATCAAAATTCATCAAAAATATGCAAGTTAAAAATGTATCATAGTGAAATATAAAACGATGCTCATTATGTGTTTTCCTCATGGAAACAAGATTTACTATTTTCATCTGGAAACCAATGTTTCAGTGATAGGCCTCTTTACTTAAACTGACAATTCTCTGAATATATTGTCACATTTGTCTTTGAAAAATATTCAGTAGAGTGGATAAAGAGAAACTAAATTGTTTTTTGTGGAGGTGTGTTACTCATTTTCAAATCACAAAACGCTAACCATTTAAAACTATTTACTTATTTAAACCAAAAGTGTTGGTAAATGAGGTGAAGCTAATTTTAATAGCAGAAGATCAGGTGACATTAGCTGATGATTAACTAGAATCTTAGTTGAGTTATCTGATAAGTATACGTAAAACATATGTCCACACGTCTAAAGTAAAAATATTAACAGTGCAAAGAAGACAGGGGACTATTGAATCAGAATTTAGAACTTGAATGGTAAAGTGCTATCTGTGAAACTTGATAGTTTTTGGGCTCAGTCTCCAATGGAATCGTGTGTACCAACTAAATATTAGGACAGAAAAGTTATCCAACACTACCAGGATTTCAATTATTCTCCAAATGTTGATAATTTATAATAAAAATTGTTTTATACTCATTACAAATCATTAACCGAAGTAAGAATGACTCAGAATCACATTGCTAACTTTAAACCAAAGAAAACGCCTTAATATTACCTCCATCAAGAAGAACTAAATCCGTACGTTATTCATGCATCAATTTTTGCGAAACTTAAATGATAGTGCTATGAATCTGACCAAATTTCATCAAGTTATTTTGTTCCATATGTTTTATATGTTAAGTCAAATCAGGAGAAATTCTATTTTTGAACCACATAAATTAAAACTAGAAATAAAATTCTAAACATATAAGCAGTCGAACTTGCCTTTCTACGGATTACCAGAATTCCTAAGCATACAAAAGCGCACATTAGTAGAGCAATATAGCTTCTGGGATATTTTCTGATGATATGCAAAATTGTTTTCCTTTGATTGTAGCATTAATTGTGCTGATCAACCATGGAAGTCCAAGACCTAAGAACACGTTGACGCTATTTGAGCCTAATGTTGTAGAAATAAGATAGACAAAGGAAAAGATATGGGTAATATGTATCGATTATTATTTCTTGTTTAATGTAAAACTATATTACAGAAAATTTCAGTGTTGTGAAGTAGATATTATTTATTGCAACTACGTAATTACTTTATTCCTAGTAACATTTCTGTGTTGCTTAAAAACGTTTAATTATATTTTCATCCAGTAGACTGTTCTTCATATATTCGGAAGTAATGTGAATGAAGGTGAATCCTTAGCAAATGCGAATTCAGATATTCAGAGAGAAATCCATACATAAGAGTTATTTGCAGTCCTATACTACGGATAATAATGGAACTCATAAGGAGCTCCCATTCAATCATACAGACCACCAGTATGCAACGTACATCGCTTGCGATAAATTGCAACCCTACGCTACATATTATCATAGAACTGAGTATAGAATGGCAGTCAACTCAACTCAACCACAACTTCATCGATTTTCAAAAGGTCTTCGACAGCGTCAACAGAAGAGTGACTGGGAAGTTGCTTCAACACTACAGTTTTAGTACAACAAATCTTTATCAACCTCATTCAACAGCTATATGGAAAAGCCACATGCCGAGTGATCCAAAATGGAAAGCTCAGTGATGCCTTTGAAGTGAAGACAGTAGTAAGACAAGGCTGTCTACTATCACCCATAATATTTCTGATTGTAGTCGACTGGATTATGCAAGAAAATGTGAGGAGCTGTGAGAAGAGGGCTGACACTGTACTGATGAAAAGACCCTAGAAGATTTGGATTTCGCCGATGATGGTTGATGTCTAATGTCGCACAAACTCTCAGATCTACAGGCGAAAACCAATAAGTTGAAAGAAGAGACAGCGAAGACGGGACTTCCCTCAGGTGAAATTAGAGAAGACAGAGGTGATGAAGATACTCAACAATGTCGACAACAGCAAGCACCAATCACCACCAACGGGAGAAATCCTAAGGAAGTTGTCTCTCACCTACCTACCCACCTACCTAGGCGGCATCGTTTCAACTATATGCGGAGGCACGGATGAGGACGCCAAAACAACTAGGATCGGAAAAGCAAGACAGGCCATCATGAATCTGAAACCGGTGTAGAGGTCTACTGCACTGCTCTGCACTCAGCATAAAGCGTAAACAAGATCCGGATTTTCAACACTAATTCAGCCAAGTCAGTTCTTCTATGTGATGGTTAATGGATCTGGGACGTTACGGAAAGCATTCCCGACAAATTACAGACATCCATCAACAACTGGCTTCACTGGCTGGATACTGAAGATCGGGTGGCCAGAAAGAATAAGCAACGAGGAATTCTGGCTGGCTGGCTGGCAATGAACCAACCAAGAAACTATCAACCAGCGAATATGCAGAAGAAAGCGGAGAGAGATTTGATTGGGTATCCACTGAGAATGCCGATTAGGGGCATCACGCAACAGGCTCATGAGAGGAATCCAAAGGGATAGCGACGAGTTGTTATCCGAGTCGAAGGTGACATGGAAGAGATCATGTGAGGAGGAAATGAAATCTTGTAGGCAGTCGTGGCGTCATGTTGAAAAGACTCCACGGAAGAGAGTGAAACGGAGACGTGGTACTGAAAATATTTGTTTCAATAGGAACGCAAAGGACAAATAATGAAATAATTATGATAGGTATCAATTTCTGGCCATTACTGGAAACACTTTTATGCATCTAAATACATAACTAACCTGTGATATTTCCAATGCTGTTGTCTGCATTCTTATCGTATATAGCAGCTGCTCGACTAACAAATACGTCAGGTAATGATGTACCCAATGCTACAAGGCTGATACCAGTTACAGCGGTTTTCATTCCAGCAGTGCAACCAAGTAGATTTGAGAGCTAAAACAGAAAGAGAATAAACTGTGTAGAATAAACACTTTGTAACATACTGCAGAAATAATGCAATGATTTCAACATGTTTTCCATACTTGGATGACTTGTTTCTTCAACTCTTTTTATCAAAATGTACAGATATAGTGATGAAACGCAGTTGAGTAGTTTTAACTTTACTTATAATTGATAACTGACTTTGATCAATTTCTTTGAAGGAAAAACACAAAGTGAGCACCAATAATTTAAACATATATGTAAATCTGCATCAAAACATACTCGTAGAAAATGAAGCCTTTGGGAAGCTGGGTATTATATTATAAGTGATAAAAAGGGGTTTGCTATTCACTCTTTTAGATAACTAGTGATAATCTATTTTCATTGAAACGCTAACAAACTCAGAAGCTTAAAATTGTCTGAACTGTTGAAAATTCACTAAAACATTTGAAAACATTTATCTCAAAATATGACATTGTATGGTGCACTGTTATGTTCAAAGCAGTAAGAGAAAGTAACTGACGATTAAATTTCTGATAAAATAAGGACGTGAAAAAGATGTCTCTACTTTTAAAAACTGAATTCAAAACGGTTCTTTTGTTCTTCGTAAAATTCGTGATCTGTCGGATCGATTTTGGGTAACAGGAGACGCTGACAACTAGAATTAAGGGAGATAAGTATCCACGAATTACATACGAGAATTAAAAAACACAACTTTACTTGAGTTTATTGCACTTTATGCAGTGGTTGAATGATATAGAACATTTAAAATAAAAACTATAGAATAATAACTAGGATAAAAATACAGACAGAAATCATTCAGTTAATAATAAAGTCATCATTTACAACATTCACAGTCTACGAAGAGAATGGATTCCTCTCATGGGCCTGTTGCGCGATGCCCCCAATCGGCATTCTCAGTGGATACCCAATCCAATCTCTCTCCGCTTTCTTCTGCATATTCGCTGGTTGATAGGTTCTTGGTTGGTTCATTGCCAGCCAGCCAGCCAGAATTCCTTGTTGCTTATTCTTTCTGGCCACCCGATCTTCAGTATCCAGCCAGTGAAGCCAGTTGTTGATGGATGTCTGTAATTTGTCGGGAATGCTTTCCGTAACGTCCCAGATCCCTTAACCATCACATAGAAGCACTGACTTGGCTGAATTAGTGTTGAAAATCCGGATCTTGTTTACGCTTTATGCTGAGTGCAGAGCAGTGCAGTAGACCTCTACACCGGTTTCAGATTCATGATGGCCTGTCTTGCTTTTCCGATCCTAGTTGTTTTGGCGTCCTCATCCGTGCCTCGGCATATAGTTGAAACGATGCTGCCTGAGTAGGTGGGTAGGTAGGTGGAAGAGACAACTTCCTTAGGATTTCTCCCGTTGATGGTGATTGGTGCTTGCTGTTGTCGACTTTGTTGAGTATCTTCATCACCTCTGTCTTCTCTAATTTCACCTGAGGGAAGTCCCGTCTTCGCTGTCTCTTCTGTCAACTTATTGGTTTTCGCCTGTAGATCTGAGAGTTTGTGCGACATTAGACATCAAGCATCATCGGCGAAATCCAAATCTTCTAGGGTCTTTTCATTGGTACAGTGTCAGCCCTCTTCTCACAGCTCCTCACATTTTCTTGCATAATCCAGTCGACTACAATCAGAAATATTATGGGTGATAGTAGACAGCCTTGTCTTACTGCTGTCTTCACTTCAAAGGCATCACTGAGCTTTCCATTTTGGATCACTTGGCATGTGGCTTTTCCATATAGCTGTTGAATGAAGTTGATAAAGATTTGTTGTACTAAAACTGTAGTGTTGAAGCAACTTCCCAGTCACTCCTCTGTTGACGCTGTCGAAGACCTTTTGAAAATCGATGAAGTTGTGGTTGAGTTGAGTTGACTGCCATTCTATACTCTGTTCTATGATAATATGTAGCGTAGGGTTGTAATTTATCACAAGCGATGTACGTTGCATACTGGTGGTCTGTATGAGTGAATGGGAGCTCCTTATAGTAATCGACAGTGCTTGGTGACATAACATCTAGATCGCAACTGGTTTGATCCCTGGCTTATCTTATCATAATGACTTATTTTAAATTCATAACTTTTCAACTATTATCATGGCGATTAACTTTAAATTGGTCTATTTCATAAATGTCTGCAAATAGTAATCAAAAATTTAACTCGACGCATGCAAAATGAACTTAACTAACTTCTTCAATGAATGCAGTTTGAAGTCCGATTAATAACAACGACGTTATGAATGTTGGATAGGCTCCTAGATACTTTCTAAAAGGTCAATGAAAAACATATAGTAAGATAAGTTCGTTAAACATGAAAATTTGGTGTGAGTTAGGAGATAGTTTTGTTAGAATAACTTTCGAAAATATTGGGATAAATAAGTGAGATATAAAGATTTGTATTTCACAGCATTTAATTAATTGAGTCGAAACTCATCCTTTGTGGCCTCTGTTGAAAGATTCGAAGTGAGCTGTTTCAAACTGTGATTGAAACAGCATGATTAGCTGCATACTTGACCTGACATGAAACGAAACCGAGACAGTGAGCTATCTACCGTCTTTTTTTATTTGTTTTGCAATAGGTTCCTTTACTTTGATACAACACATATATCTATCAGAACGTAGCAAATTTTTGGTTGTGTTTTGCAAAATTTTTGGTTTTGAAATTATTTGTCATGTTAGTTAAAGCTGATAGAGTATGAATTTTGGGTAGTTATCTTAAAGTTTCATTAAAAACTTTAGGTTAAAGTTTTCTGCGCTTTGTTGTAGCGCTAAATCTCAAATACTCTCAATTCAGTTCTGTCAGTCTCGTGTAGTTATCTGCTATTTTAATTCACTTTCTTTGTAGAAGAATTCATTTCAAATTGTTGATTCACTTGTTTACTTATTCTTCTTGTCGTTTTAGATATTTCAAACTGTTTGATCTTTATCTTACAATAAAACATCGTATGTAAGAAGTCTATTCAAGGGTTAGTGATCTTGTTTATTTAGTTATAATATTCTTTTCGCTTTAATTCACTAGTATATAGCGAAGTTTACAATTTTTGAACTTTATGTATTTCTCTGTCTTGTATATTTACAACTATAAGCAGCTTGTTTGAGTGAAATGGATTGTAGTTGTTATACTCGAATGGTTGTTATCGGGTTACTAGCAATGACAAGCGTTAAAACTGAATTGTTCTATCCTTTCATTATTATAAGTGTTAAACTTGGGAACTGTGGTGGGATATAATTCCACATTAATTTTGTTTATTTGATTTATAATGCATAGTGATATAGTAATATTTCCTTAATGATGTTCCTAGCATAAATTAGAGCTCACAGTCATATCATTGAAATGATGATTAGGTAATTCGGTGTGACTGATCTGCTTACCATCAGGTTTTACAAAAATTATGTGACCTTCGTAAGCAGTAGGTAACAGTCAGAAGTCGACACTATAGGCTACTGAAAAAATTAAGGCTATATATTCCTGAATACACATAGTGCACATAGTTGTAGATCCTTTCTGAGAGGTATAGCATGCTTCTTCCGTTCTGTACGATGTTTATGTCTGTATTGAAATGTGTATCCTCAGAACATTTTGCCAATAACATTGTTATATATTCTGCCAGTTTTACAAGGCATCTGCGGGGACGGCAACTTGATTGGAGTCTCAGCAGGAATGTTTTCATCCACTAAGGTCCAGGTACATCTGGCTGACGAGCAGAAAAGAAAACAAAATACGCATTCTTGGTTCTACAACTAGCCAAAGTAAGCAAATACAACAATCAGAAATAATGAGGCATCATATGTGTCAACAACGTTTGATAAGTCGTATACAGAACAAAAACAGGAAATTGTAAGTATCAATAAATAAATAATTTAACAGTTGATCAACCTTCTAAACTCCAAAGCGAAATAAGTTTTGTGAAACTATAAAGCTGATGGTAAAAATAAAACATTTGTTTGTGTATGAAATTATAAGAATTGTTTTACCTTGGGGGAAGCAGTGCACAAATAAGTTTCCAGAAGAAGGTTATCCCATGAAGAGCATACTCCAATTTCGTAAGTGGTATTTCAATTCCATCTTCATTAACGCTAGGAACTAGAGAGACAGCCCTTACAAAAAAATGAAAGTCAAATGGAGAAAAATGTCTTGCTTAATAATATAAAGTTTGCCAGGTGAAATGCCACTTCACACAACGTAATACAATAAGTTAGATATATTAAGTTTTCACTGATTCCTTCTCTGAATGCATCGTTTGCATATGGATATCACCACACACGAGTAAGAGAGTGATTCTTTTTAGTAGTTATCATTGGTGAATTTTAGAACAAAACTGCAGATCGGCTGCGTCGCAAAAAATAATTTGAGTATGCAGAATATATAAAATGGAGGAGTTAATTATCATGTTTTCAACTTCTAACAAAATAAATTGACGGGTAACTATGAGAGAGCAAAGTTTTCAAAAAAGATGCGAAAACACTATACAGACTTGTAAGATACTTGAAGTTGTTTTATCTGATAGTTATGAATATTTTTATACAAAGTGAATGGATTACATGAGCAAGAGCTTTGAAACTATGTTTGAGTAGATTTTTGATGTCATATGACTTCTGTTGATCAAAGGAGATTTTTAAGCCAAGTGACATTTCTTCTTCAAAAGTGACCGACTAGATGCACCCAGGTTTTAGTAAGTGTTTGTGTCAACGCCCGAAATCAGGTTCAGCCCCTTGAACTACAAACAATAGGGCGTTATCCACTTTGCAAACTCCTAGTCAAACACCATCAGTTATTGACATTTGTGCTTTTTGTTACTTTTTGAACATTTCATCGCACTAACTCGTTTTTGTGACTTACAAGATATGGTGGCTGAATTCGGTTTTCAGCAATATTACAAACACTATAATGCAGACGTTTATTGTTGTCAAATTTTGGCAACGTGAGGCGAAGATCGCAACTTCACAAATCATCTTGGTATTAATTATTGACTAATATCAGAAGGAGAAACATTGGAAACCTAGAGGTACTGGACTGCTGCTTTGTCCAGTGAGAAGTCGTGGGGCCAACCGTGCGAAAAATGAGGATAGTTACAGCGACGTTGGACGGAGATCACGCCATATCGTTCACTGATGGAAGTAGGAAATATGGACCACCAGATTCCGATCGAGTGGCTTAACGGTAACTTGATAGCAATGGAACCTGAAGGTTCTGGGTTCGGTTCCTTGTGTCGCGGGGTCATGGGTGCACACTGATGAGAAGTCACATACTAGGACTGAACGGCTGTCCAGTGCTCCTGGGCTTCCAATGTTTTTCCAACTGAAGTTGATCCTTGGTGAATGCTAACCTGAAGTCAATAAATCACTATAAACCTTGAAAATGAATTTTAGAAATCACCAAATAAATATAACAAGGCACTAGTTTGGGTTAAGTAAAAGATCATATGGGTTTTAAATGATTTTAGATACGAATAGCTAACCAATGTGGAAATGTAGCCCAAACTCAACCCTGGTGTTTAAGATTAATTACTCATTAGATAAAACAAGTTCAGAGAAGATAAACGTCTCAACGATTTCACTCTGAACGGCTGTGCGATAGCGATTTTGTACTTTTTGTTCCACTACATTAGATTGTCATAAGAACTACTTACGAAGATCTGGTCAAATGAAAATTATGATTATACTTATTATCAAAATATCCGAAGTGTGAATAGTCACAGAAAGTGAAAGCGATTAATGCAATTAAAAAGACACAACATAAAGTTGTATAGTGTGTAGGAATAATTTTCATGATGACGCTTGGTCCAGTCGCATCTCTTTGCAACGAGTCAGGGTAACGTTGCTAAATCCACACACCGAACACTGTACATACCCGGTTCAACAGAATCAGGTGAATTGACAAACACAGCTGGCAACAGACAGCTTCGGAAGCTTGTCCTCTGTGTCGGGACGAATAAATGGGCGAACATCTAAGTGAAAAAAACCGATAATATTTGAATACAGAAAACCTGCCTGACCTTTGTTTCTACCTTGGACTTAATAAACGGAAGTAGACGACAAACATGTCTTTCTCTGCCTTAAAATTTATAAATTTTAAACCATTTTTGTTTTTAACAGCTCAAAGTCTCATGTCACTGGTGATAAGGCCTAACTTGAAACCTATAAAACACTTGTGTTTTACTTTTACATCGGTTATAAACAATAACCTTAACTGAATGTGATTTTTCACGACTGAGTTTAATAGAATAACGCCTGCGACTGTCCAATTTACTGGGATAAAACGTATGAAATCAAAATTGTACACATCTATAGAACGAAATCGCAGAGTGTGTCTTAATCAAATGTTATACGATTGTTTACATGGTATTTTTTACTGATCTCGAGTGTTGTCCAACTAATTTAGAGTAGAGATTCCTATTACACTTTTATTTTATACAGGTAGAGAATCATTTTTGGAGTGAGATTGTGCCACTTGTTACTGTGGCTGATTACTGGTTTATTTGGTCAGTTTGCTATTGGTCGGTGGATGAATTTTTATTTCTTGAAAAAAGGTTGCAGAATGAGTGTACACGCAGTGCACCGCTGCTTCAGCAATCTATCATGATATTGGCGATTCTGTTGGTATCCATTTTTTTTGCTTACAAATCTTCTCATTAAGCGGTAAGTAGATCACGAGGTATACATACTTCAGTCCATTTAAGTCTGGTACTGTGAGTTTTATAAAGCGTCAAAGATTTTGATCATTTTTCCTCAGATACATTTGGGCTGATTGGAGCAGATAGTGAATTCATACCGTTCATCATCATCTATCTTTGATTTTTTTTATCCGTATAACATTAAAATACCTTCAATTGTCTATGAATTTAGTGCAGAAGATGTCACCAGGCCTGGTGGTGAAATGTTAACGATAAACTATGGAAGCCCAGAGGATACAGAAGCACCACCATTCCTCTCCTGATCAATCTATGTTTACTATCCTCTTCTACATTATAATTATTACTGTGTCTCTTTCGCCTCCGTATATTTATCCTCCTTTGGTGTTAATTTCATTGCTTCTTTTTTGTGGTTTCGTCCGTTTTGTGGTGCTGTGAAAAAAGGATAGAGCAGTCATATATAATAACAAACGAAGGCGTAGTACTGAGAGTGTGAGTAAATACTGAGAGGCAACAGCTTCTAGCTTTCTCAAATTGCTTGTCAGTATATCTGATGAAAAACACAGTGGCTTTTGATTGTTTTACAGTCTCTATCCCAAGCACCATTCAGTCTTTTATAACGCAGATGCATGTAGTTAACAGCCTATCATGTCACTCGGAAAAAAATGATCGAATTGTCAGTCCACAGGATGATTCACAAATATCAATCTTTTTTTTAATAGTTACACCACTGTATTGCTAATTGCACTACCAGAGTTACTACTGTAAGAAGGAACTACATCGTTTAGCACAAGCCATTTGGCAGTCGAACTTTCGAAAGCGCTTCCAGATATCTGACTGGAATTATTTTCTTTTTCCCGACAAATATTGTAATATTCCCTATATGCAGTGGAGATTATATAATATAATTTTTTCTACTAATGCAATACATTCCGTAATGATTCATAAGAAGCAAATGCAAACCTCGTTTCACTTCCAACCTAATACCTGAATACCATGTTTAGCTATTTAGAGTTTATTAGCACTATACTTTGGCCAACCATACTTTGAAATCTCATGCTGATAATCAAAACAGTGTATAGCTTACTTTCTAGTCAAGAGAGAGAGAGAGCTAATAGGGGTATAGTGTGTGAACCACGGTAATTATATTATTTTATCTAATTTCCGGTCATGCTGTAAGTCTCAATAGTTGTATAACATACTTATGTAGGTATATATGGTGGGGTTTCGCAAAGACGATCGCATACACAGGGAGTGCTTGAGTTATTTTCTAAGCGGTGTATATGCAATCAGATCTGAGTGAAGAGAGCATGAAGTAATAATACGCCAGTGAAGTTTATCACAAATGTCGTTTAGTAAAGGGTATATTCCATAGAAAGTTCTGAATATAAGACTGTGAAAGACATATATATATATATAATAGCTTCAAATTTTTATTAGTAATCTAATAGTAGGGGCTAAAAATGCTCACTGACTGTTATCAGAATAAGAAACATTTACAGAATAAGAAACTTTTTTATTTCTTAAACTACTTTTTGTAAATTTATCTTTCACTTTAAAACAATAGTGAGTTCTAGAAACGTATTTCGTTTTATATTTGCTCTGACTGGATTGAAGAAGCAAAATTCATTGGACAATGTTATTTTATCGGCTCTGGAGTACAAAAAAGCAGTTCTAGTAATTTTATCCATCATAGCTGCTTTTGTGTTCTCAGCAAAAACTACGCTATAGACTAGTCTCAACCAGCTTTCAAATAGAATAACTCTACTGTTATATCCATTATCTCAAGGAAGGAGTCAATAATTGTGCTAAACTTGAGGAATAAGGAAACATTTTTTGATAATTGCAATGACATTTCAAGATAAATAAATCAAATACGTTTCCTATTTCTAATACTTATATGACATTAGAAGCGGAATCTAAGTGAAGTTCTATTTATCTAGTGTGATCAGTCATCCACCAATTAAAGTTCTAGAAACTATACTAATTTCACAAAAATCATAATTCCATCTTGTTGTAAATGAGAACCACGAGTGGGGAAGTTAATGGTGTGGTAACCCTTAGGCTACGGAGACAGTACCTTGGATATCGAAGTTCAGATGGCCTCAAGTGTGAATGTTTGTTGATGCTGACTATAGAATGTCTCATAAAAACACGAATTGATTCACCGACTACCTTACTTTGCTATACTACAATAATGAAGAATTCGATTACATCAGTAATTTTTGCAGGGATGAAATATGTAAAGAAAAGGATAAGATGAATACCAGTAACGACTTTTAAGTACATTTCAGACATGATAAGCACCGACAGTTTGATAAATATAAGGAAAATAAGTTATTACTCAAAGAAGACCACTTATATATATATATATATATATATATATGTATAAAGGCAGAAGAGTGCAAAGTATGGGTATCAGCCTCTATAATTTTAGCCTATATTACATATGAATTCAGATAGTCA